GCCCCTATAGGACTGTATTTTGGCTGTTTGCACAGCTCTAGGCTGTCAGGACAGTTGTTTATTATGTAATTTGGACAATATATTCTGCCAGAACACTGTTCCATTTTCTATTTATTTCACCCCAGGCTGGATTTAGGTGTTTCCTTAGTAACCCATTAAACTTTTTTACCATTCCTGCTGCTGTCAGATTATGAGGCATCAGATTTTCTTCTTACTGGCCTAGACCCATGGCCTTACTGTAAAGTTTGTTTCCTGGTTTGATTCTATGGCCGGGGGCAGGGAGGGGGCGCTTCATCGATACTAGTAAGTGTCTGTGTGCCTGATATTGTGGCTCTAGCATCTATGTAAACCCCAGTTCTGAGAAGTACCCACCACAGCCATTTCTGGTCTCCTGGTGACCCAATCATAGCTTCAGCATTTTCTGTCTACCAGATGTATCTTCTGCTAGCTCTTTTTAAGATTTAAAAAGAGCATACTGTCCTTCTCTCTCACGATAGGATGGGGGGCCCCCAGATTTGGGGCAACTCAATCAGGTGGAAGCTGGTGGTGTGGGTGGTGAAAGAATTCGCTGGAGGCAGAACAAAGGAGCTAGAAGTTTATTGGATATACCACAAGGGAGCAAAGGAGAGACTCTGCCCCCCGTTTTTTTTCTATTGTCAACTGACACAGAAAAGGGTTACCGTTTTGACAATGTTTCAGTCTGTGCTGTTTTAGGACCACCTCTCTCCCTCATTGTTTCATTGATGGGTTTGTGCCCAATTGTCCATTTGTTTGGGGACCCCACCTAGCTAGAATATTGTCAATTAACCATTTTTGATGTTATCTTTCCCATCAATTTCTCTACTTTCTAATTGTATTTTGCTTCTTGAGTTTTACCTTTCTAGGTGCTGAGACGTGATCCCCTGTTCCGTTAGACGGTCAAACCTGATGTATGTTCTCCCATGTTGGTTTTCTCCATACTGATTGTTTATTAGACAATTATCTATTTTTCCATTTGGGGCACCAAATTATTAGGCCATTGGCTACTGCCCATGGATCATAATTCAAGATAACTTCAGGATGTCCTTTGCATAAGTTCTGACTTACTGGCAAATGTACTGATTTTATTTTATTTTATTTTTTAAAAGATTTTATTTATTTATTTGACAGAGAGACACAGCGAGAGAGGAAACACAAGCAGGGGGAGTGGGAGAGGGAGAAGCAGGCTTCCCGCCCAGCAGGGAGCCCAATGCAGGGCTTGATCCCAGGACCCTGGGATCATGACCTGAGCCGAAGGCAGACGCTCAACGACTGAGCCACCTGGGCGCCCCAATTGTACTGATTTTAATTCATCATATTGAGTTGCCTTGTCTGTCCCTCTACCTGCCAGAGTTCTTCCTGTGGTTGCCTTTAGGGCGGCCGCTTTCCACTCAATATCTCGTGGTATGACTGAGGCACTCCCATGCTTGGGCCATCACGTCGCCTGAACAGGTCCCTTCATCTCTCTGGATTTTGGCTTTCTCATCTATAAAAGGAGATGATTATACCTGCGTCAGGGTTTTTCTGGAGTGAAGGTATTCAAGGCCCCAGGCTTGGAATTGGCATCAATGACTCGTTTTTTACTAGTAGCTTATCAAACTGTAAGTCGCAGGAAAGAAAGACAGATGAGCTGTGACATCCTCAGTGCAGAAGCATTCAGCCCATATTCCAGACTCAGAGAGGGTCTGAGGGAAAGAGCCCTTAGAGATGATCCAGGCTTGCTGACCTATTGGACAGAAAAAGTAGGACATGGCAATGGGGCAGGACAACCGTCCTTATCTACAGTTCCCTGAATGTGTAGGGAAGACACCTAGGACTCAGACCTGAGATGCCCAGGCCTTGGCTTCGGGATGGAGCTGCCACCATCGCTGTCCTCTAAGCTGAGGGGCGTCCCACCACCACCCAGCGGCTGTTTCTAGGATGTACAGCGAGATTCCTCATCCTCAAATTGGCTTCGACTGCCCCCTAGGGGACATTTTTCTCCAGATCCATGGGTACCAGCCACATTCCTCCAGGAAAAGGGTTGGGGCACTGTCCAAGGCTGCTGGTTCTCTCTTCTTCTCTTCCTCTGCTCACGCCATGGCAGACTCACCCCATCGTGTGGCTTTACATACTATCCACAAGCCACTGCTCCCCAAATCATATCCCCAGCCCACACCCCCCCACCTCCAGACTCCAGACTCAGAGATCCAACTGCCACTTGTCATCTCCACTGGAAAGGCTAATGGTCATCTCAATCAGAATGAATCCAAAGCTGAGAGCCTCATCCTCCCCCACCCCAGTTATGGCAATGCCATCCTTCCAGATGCCAGGCTGAAACTCAGGGTGCCATCCTTGACTCATCTTTCCTTCACATCCAAGTCCAACCTGTCAGCAAATCCTATTGGCTGCACCTTCAAAATATGTCCAGAATCTGACCACTTCTTGCCATCCTAGTTCAGGCTACCATCTTTTCTAGACTTATTAAAAGAGTCTCCTATCTGGTTCTGTAGCATTTGGCCCTGTCCAGTGGTTCTTGTCTCAGCTGGAGAAAAAGCCAAAGTCCTTATGATAACCACTAGGGCTTTACTGATCTAACTCATCTCTTGTCACTCGCTCCGTAGTTGCATTCGGGGTGCAATTGCATTGCTCCATACTGCTGTCGCCTGTGGCAGGCATGCTCCTGCCTTAGGGCCTTTGCTCTTGGTCTTCCCCCCTCCTTCAAATAACTACATGGCTGGCTCCCTCATTTCCTTTAGATCTTCACTCAAAAGACCCTTCTCCATGAGGCCTTCCCAGGATATCCTATCAAAATTTCAGCAGCTCTCTGACATTTCACATCTCCCCACCTTGCTTTCTGTTTTTTCTTCTTAATATTTATCACTATTCACGGGTGGGGTAACTGCAGGATGGACGTTTAGGAAGGCACATGATGTAATGAACACTGGGTATTATGTAAGACTGATGAATCACTGACCTCTACCTCTGAAGCAATAATACATTATATGTTAATTGAATTTAAATAAAAATAAATAAATTAAAAAAATAAATAAAATCAGGAACAACACAGGCTAAAAAGTATTTATTACTATTCAATGCATTGCACATTTTACTCATTTATCCTCCATTAGGATGTAAGTTCTACAAGAGTAGAGTTTTTGTTTATTCTGTTCCCTGAAATATCTCCAATGCCTGTAACAGAGGTTAGTGAAATTTGAAAAAGGAAATTACATCCTTCTTTTATTTTTTAATTTTTTAAATGCTTTCTTTTAAAATAATTATTTAAAAAATATTTTATTTATTTATTTGAAAGAGAGAGCGTGCACAGAGGGAGAGGGAGAAGCAGACTCTCTGCTGAGCAGAGAGCCTGACACGGGGCTCAATCTCAGGACCCTGAGATCATGACCTGAGCCAAAGGCAGATGCTTAACTAACTGAGACTCCCAGGTGCCCCATTTATTTTTAAGTAGGCTCCATACCCAGAGTGGAATCCAATGCATTGCTTGAACTCATGACCATGAAATCATGACCTGAGCGGAGATCAAGAGTTGGATGCTTAACTGATTGAGCCACCCAGGTGTCCCTTATTTTTTAAGTAAGATTTTTTTTTAAGATTTAATTTATTTATTTGACAGAGACACAGAGAGAGAGGGAACACAAGCAGGGGGAGTGGGAGAGGGAAAAGCAGGCTCCCCTCGGAGCAGGGAGCCTGATGTGGGGCTCGATCCCAGGACTCTGGGATCATGACCTGAGCCGAAGGCAGACGCTTAACCGACTGAGCCACCCAGGCACCCCTTAAGTAAGCTTTAAGGCCAATGTGGAACTTGAACTCATGACCCGGAGATCAAGAGTCACAAGCTCTACCAACTGAGCCAGCCAGGTGCCCCTACATCCTTCTTTTAATTTAATCTTCCCAATAAGCCGATAAGATACTATAGTATTTTCCTTAATTTGTAGATGAGAAAACTGAAGCATAGAGAGGTTAAGTCATTTGCCCAAGGGTCACACAGCTAGGAAATGGGACGTGGGGGGAATATTCTACTCTTCTACTTACCAACCTTATTATCAGTATCTGTATTCAGATTTGTCATGGTTTAAATGAGACCCATAAGAGTGCCTTCTTTGTGGGGTCATTGTGATGACTATGTGTGATAAAGCATGTGGTAAGCTTACAGCCAGTGCCTGGAATGTTGCACTTAAGAAGTGGTCACTAGAAATAAGAAAAAATTAGTTTTTTATTAGTGATTATTTAGATTTTTTTTCTTCAGCTTTGCATTTTATTATTGATATGATTATTTGTGTTCTTAGGGATTGTTGTCCGGGCGCCTAGCTGGCTCAGTCAGTGGAGCGTGCGACTCTTGATCTTGGGGTTGTAAGTTCAAGCCCCACGTTGAGTATAGAGATTACTTAAAAATAAAATATTTAAAAATTTTTAAAAAATATTTCATTTGTTTGAGAGAGAGAGAATGAGCATGAGCAGGGGGTTGGGGAGCAGCAGAGGGAGAGGGAGAAGGAGACTCCCTGCTGAGCAGGGAGCCTGATGTGGGGCTCGATCCCAGGGCCCTGAGATCATGACCTGAGCTGAAGGCAGCTACTTAACTGACTGAGCCACCAGGTGCCCCTAAAAATAAAATCTTAAAAAAAAAAAGGATTGTTGTCAAACTTGGGATAACCTCTATCAAGCATCTTATATATGTGAGCTATAAGGTTTGGAAGGATTTTCCACAGAGTAGCGTCTGGCTTCATACATTTCAAACCTTATTTCAGCTCCAACACCCTCATAGCAGACAGGCCAGGCATGATAAGGGTCTCTGATTCTGCACCTCCATATCACAACATGGGGGCGGACAGTACAGTGGGCATGAGGAATATTCCCAGAAGCCATTTTGGAGCATCCAGAAATAATAAAACTAGACCCAGAAGAAGCTAGAACCCTATTCATATATCCTCCAAACCCAAACCCAAACCAGCCTTCCTTTAGCGAGTGGGAGTCCAAAAACGCCCATGGCATTGAAGCGAGGTGTGTTGGAGGAGACGGGGTGGAAAGAGACAGTGATCTGATTGTGGTTAGAATATCTTACTTTTGCAAATGTTATAAGACATATAACCCCATGCAAGTAATGTGTCCTTTTTGTTTTTTAAAGATTTAATTTATTTATTTGAGAGAGAGAATGAGAGAGAGCACGAGAGGGAAGAGGGTCAGAGGGAGAAGCAGACTCCCCGCTGAGCAGGGAGCCCGATGCGGGACTCGATCCCGGGACTCCAGGATCATGACCCGAGCCGAAGGCAGTCGCTTAACCAACTGAGCCACCCAGGCGCCCTCCTCTTCTCTATCCTTAACAAAAATCAGAGTTGGTTTGATCATTTGCCCGTTATCTCATTCAGTCCTCACAACTCTGCAGCAGTGAGGATGTTTTGGGATGTAAGTAACAGATACCAAACTAACAGAGCTTAACCCAAAAGGATTTGTTATTTCAATTAGGGAGAGAGGCCATAGGTGATTCCAGAAATGGTTAATTTAGCAGCTCAACCATGTCAATGTTTTCCCTGAGTCTCATGACCTCATCCTAGCAAGATGGCTACTACAGCGCTGGCCATCACATCCTCAGTCAACTACTTTCAAAAGCAGGAAGAGGCTCCTCATCACATGGCTCTCCCTTTTCTTTTCTTCTTCTTCTTCTTTTTTTTAATCAGAGAGGAAAACCTTTCCCAGGAGCCCTCAGCAAACCTCTTCAATCTCATTGGCCAGGATCAGGTCCCATGCCAATCCCTAAACCCCGCAAATTGAATTAGGATTGCAAAGTTTGGTTGAGCCAATGATCAGGAGAGAGCAACCTACAGCTGGGAGACAATGGGGTTCTTTTATCAAAAGGAGCAACAGGGAGAGGCTGTGGGTTGGGCAGGTGCCCAGGTGAGTCTACCCCTTCTCGGATAAGATTCTAATAATAGCTAACATTTCTGTGACACTCATTAAATGCGCAGCACTGTCCTAAGCCCTGAACCCTTACTTGCCCACAGTCCTCTAGTTTCAATTCCAAAATATGAAAAGCTCTGAAAGCCCAAATTCCTTCTTAACTGATTTACTGGCAACACCTGACTTGAACTGATAGGAGGCTGGTTCTTGTCTTTATTTGTCCTGCTTAGGGTTACGTCTGTAGACTTGCTCTAGAAAATGTGCTTGATCATGGAGGGCTGCAACATAATCTCCGGTATTACCCACCTTATCTTTCTAAAATCTGGAAAATTCTGAAACACATCCTAGAGTTTTTGAATAAGAGGCTGAGGCCCGAATTAAATTATTCAACCCTCACAAAAATTCTGAGGTCGGGCAATCATTCCATTTTACCGATGAGGAAATTGAGGCTCAGCGAGGGGGCGTGACTTACTTGGGGTCACACAGCGGGCAGGGCTCGGAACCTGGCCGCGCGGTTCCAGGGTCCGTGCTTTTCCCTGCAGCCGACCTGGTGGACCTCTGCGGGCAGACGTGGCAGGGGGCCGGCCTGCGGCTGCGTTCGCACTCCGCCTCGCGCAGGTTCTACTTCGTGGCCCCGGACACCGACTGCGGGCTCTGGATGCGGGCGGCGGCCGCCGGCGACAGGATCCGCTTCCAGTTCCGCTTCTTCCTGGTCTACAGTTTGGCCGCGGCGGCCCGGGCGCCCCCAGTGTCCCCGGCGCCCAACGCCTCCTCCCCCGCGCCGGCCGACGGGTGCGCCCCCGGGTCCTACCTGCAGTTCTACGAGGGCCCGCCGGGGGCGCCGAGGCCCCTGGGGGCCCCTCTCTGCGGCCTGACCATCCCCGCCCCGGTGGCGTCCTCCGGACCTTTCCTGGGCCTCCGCCTGCTCACGAGAGGCCGCCAGCCCCGCGTGGACTTCGTGGGCGAAGCCACCTCTTTTCGGCTGGGTGGGTGGGGGCTGTTGGCTGGGGCCGGGGGCACCTGCGGGCTGGGGTCACTGGGGTGGCATCTGAAGCGCCAGAGGATGGGGGTTTAGGGGGCTGGGGCCTGGGTGTGGGCGGGGAGGGGGACTGGCAGCGGGCTGAGCGCAGTCCCGGGAGGGGCCAATCCAGACCCCCGGAGCCAACCCCGTAAATCTGACTCCCTGGGCCGCGTATGGCTGCCCCCCTACCAGCCCCTGACGCCCACCCGCACACACTCCCACACACTCCCACACCTGACACCCCACACCCACACTCACCCCGCACACTCATTCACACCCCCCACTCACACTACACATCCCCCACATGCCCTGCACACTCATTCACACCACCCCACACCCACACTCACACACACATGTATATGTGCATACAACCCACAACTTTGCACTCATTTACACAACTCCACACCCATGTGCCTCACACACTGCAACACACACCCCACATACCTGACATACTGCACACTCACACACCTCATACACATACAGAACCAATTTGCACGCTTAGATACAACTTACACACTCTCAAGTTCACACACGGCTCTTCTGTCCTGGGTCAGCCCTTCAGATGAAAGCAGAGGGGCTGAGTGGGGTCTCTGGTGACTGTAAGTGACAGATACCCACTTCAGCAAGGAAAGGGAACTGATAGTAGTTAATGATCATTTATTACGCATTGCCTTTGCCCTTGGCATGCCAGATCTGCCTGTTCCTCACAGCCTCACGTGCCCGTCTTCTTGTGCTCATGTTTCTGGGTGGGAAACAGGCTCCGGGGGTTAGGTAAAGTGCCCAGGCCTCCCTGCTCACAAGCGGAGCGGCTGGGCTTTAGCGGCTAGAGCACGTCCTCTTGTTCAAATTGAGTTCAAGGCTTTAGCCTGCACAGGCTCCCCCAGGATCGGAGACGCTCCCCTGTGTCGCAGCAGAGGCTGTGTCCGGTGATGGCGAGCCGGCGAGCTGTCAAAACCCAGAAGACGCCGAAAGCACAGAGAAGCTTTATTGCCACCGTTGGCAAGATATCCAGGCTGGGATTTAAACGTGGGATTGCGAGCACTTTGAGACTAGAGCGCGGGGCCCTGTGAGGGCTCGAGCAGACTCACCAGGAACTGGACTTCAATGAGCCAGGCCCTGGACAGCCCTTTAACACGGAGCTGGTCGGGCAGAGCCCTCGGGCTGTCCCATGGTCTCTTTAGACGAGGCCCCCAGCTTTTTCTCCCCTGGCCTGATGCCTGGTCTGAATTTTGGATTTTATTTTATTTTTTAATTAAAAACACAATTTTTTTTTTTTTTTTTTGGGAGAGAGAGGGAGAGCGCGTGTGCACGAGCAAGAACAGGGGTGGGAGGCAGGGGCAGGGAAAGAAATTTAAGCAGGCTCCAGGCCCAGCACAGAGCCCATTGTGTGGCTCCATCTCAGGACCCTGAGATCATGACCCGAACCAAAATCAACAGTTGGACGCTTAACCGACTGAGCCACTCAGGCGCCCCTGAATTTTGGATTTTAGATACTTTCTCTCTTCCCCCTTAGTCTCTGGCTCTGGGAGGAACTATATGAAATTTGGACTCTAAATCCTTAGTGCCAAGACCGGTGGTGCCTGAGGTCTCCTTTCTGCCTCCTGTAGGCTGTAGTGTGCCCAGGGGCCTACGATGTTTTGCAAACAGCTCTCACTGGCTGATTGAGAATTAACCCCTCCCTCCCTCCCTCTCTTTCCTTTTCCCTCACTCTTTTTCTCCCTGTGGCCTCGCCTGCTTGCAAGGTGCAGCTGTCAGCCAGGGAGCCTGGGATGTTGCCGCTGCTCTGTGTTCAGCAGAATTGAACTCCTTTTTTTTTTTTTTTAGATTTTTTTTTTTTAAAGATTTTATTCATTTATTTGAGACAGAGAGAATGAGAGAGAGAGAGCACATGAGAGGGGGGAGGGTCAGAGGGAGAAGCAGACTCTCCGCCGAGCAGGGATCCCGATGCGGGACTCGATCCAGGGACTCCAGGATCATGACCTGAGCCGAAGGCAGTCACTTAACCAACTGAGCCACCCAGGCGCCCAGGATTGAACTCCTTGAAAGGAGGCAGGGACAAGGCCCTGTCCCAGGTCTGGCTTCCTTAGATCAGTTTGTCATTTGAATGAAGAAAGGTTCATTTCACATCCTCAGGCCACACGCACAGTCCCCGTCACTCACACCTGCAGGCACAGCCTGCCTGGTTCATGCACACACTCCTACGTTGACAGCCTCATATGACCGCCCATACATAACCACACTACTGTTTGTGTTTTCTCTCACATTCATTCTTACACCTACATACCTGCTATATGGTCTTCGTTTTCATTTGTAGACAAAAGCAACCCAACTCAAGTTGGTTTAGCCAAAAGAGAATGGGGAGGGACTCCTATAACTGGGACATTAAGGTGTTGGTTCAGGTATGGCTGCATCCAGCAGTTCAAGTAATGACACCTGGGTGCTGTCTCCTTGTTCTCTGTCTTTGCATTGTGGGCGTCTGTTTGGCCTCCATCTCAGGCAGCTTCTCTTTCTATCTGGCAGCAGGATGACCCTGCAGCTCCAAGTCCATGGTCACCATTATAGCTCTAACCTCAACAAAATGGAGAGTGAGCATCTTTTCTTATGGTTCTAGCAAAAGTGCCAGGGCCAAATCTGATTAGTCATGTGGGTCGTGTGTCCATTTCCGTGGCCAGGAAGTGGAACGCTCTGATTCCCATGCCCACCCCTGAGCCAGGGTGTTGGGCAACCCCACCTGCAACAGCTTTTCTCCACAGAATGAGATGCTGGGTAAGTCAACCTCTCTGCACACCCTGTGCATCAAGTCATACAATTCGTTCACCTGCGTGCATATTCATTCATTTAACAAATGTTATGGGAGCACCTGCAGTATGCCAGGTGCTGTTCTAGGCTCCAGGGCTACAGCAATGAACAGAAGTCCGTGTCCTCTCTGAGCTGACGTTATGAGGGAGACTCAGACCGTAAACAAATAATCGAGTGAATCCATGTTCTGTTGAGGTGAGGAGTGCTGCAGAGGGATGGAAGTCAGGACAAGGAGGATCAGAGCGCTGGGGGGGGGGGGGCGCGGCGGGCCGTTCTCACATGGAGCTCAGGGGCCCATGGCAGGTAGCATTCGAGTGTGGACCTGAAGGGAGTGAGCCATGCAGTTACTTCGGGGAGAGAAGGCCAGGCAGAGCCGATGGCAAGTGAACTAAGCTCTCCCCGGGCCTGTCTTCTGATCTCTGAAATGGAGGTAGTAACAGTGTTTATTGTGTAGGGTTATTGTGAGAACTTCAGGAGCTGGGGTGTGAGTGGAGTGCTTAGAGCCGTGCCCAGCGCGGGGAGAGGAACTCAGTAAATGTCAGCCATCAGCATCATCCTGGTGACCACACACCTGTCTCCCATGACACACCCAGCAGCTCCCACATTCCCTCACTATAGGGCTACGCATCCCTGTGTGTCACGGGCTGGCTCAGGGTTCTCATCGCATGCCTCCCCTCCCGGCCCCAGGAGCCTGCGGTGCCTACTTCCGCTGTCAGAACGGCAGGTGCATACCCCCGAGCCTGGTGTGCGATCGCTGGGGGCGTGGACAACTGTGGTGATGGTAGCGACCAGGCTTCCTGGCCACCAGCCGACTGCAGAAGTCAGTGATGGGTGCAGCCCGGGCCCCGCTGAGCAGCTAGGACAGAAACCGGGGCTAGCTCCCCTTCCCTGGGGGCAGGGCCTCAGTGGGGAGGCCGGGGGCAGGGGCATGGCAGGAGAGAATAAGGTGAAGCACAGCAGTGGGGAATGTGTGTAGGCCGGACTGTCTGAGGATCAGAGCAAGTTAGAGCCGGAATGATGCTGGAGATGATCTAATCCAGCTGCTTCCAAATGATATTTCAGTGGTGGAAGCTTTTCCTAAGTGAAATTTTGCGGAGGATCAAGACAGCAAAAGGGAAGATGCCCTATTTAACTGGACACGGAGGCTCAGGCCCTGGCTCACTGATGTCCCACCGAGGGACCTGAGTTGGACCTTCAAGACTTACTTTGGAAACCATTGTCCAGTCTTGTCTCCACATTTTATGTGTGGGGAAACTGAGGCCTAGGGGAGGAGAAATGTCTTGCCCAAGGTCATGGAGTCAGGGAGTAGCATGACCAGGAATGACCTCTGTGGACAGGGGGGACCAGAATAGGCCACCCAGGAGCTTCCTGGGAATCTAAGATGCCACATCCTGCGAACAGGGCTGCTATGTACTGTTGAACAGGTTGTTTACTGCAAAAAAACACCTGGCTGAAGGGGCTGATAAACCTAACCTTTCGGAGTGTCCTAAACTAAGTGAAATACCACAGGTAAGGAGCCCAGCACCCAGCACAGTGCTCGGTGCCCAGAGAATGCTCAGTACAGACACATCCTCCTTCTTGAGAAATAGCTCCATTTGGGCACTGGAGCTGGGCTGCATGAGCTCAACTCCTCCCCTAGCACTTCCTGCTTTGTGACCTGGGCAAGTGACTTAACCTCTCTGTGCCTCACTTCCCTCATGTGTGAAATGGAAATACTAATAGTAACAAACTCAGACAGGTTTGGGGAAGCTTCAAGGAGCCCAAGTCAAGCCCTGGAAAGTTCTGTGTGTTCCTCTATTATTTCCCGCTGCAGGTCCCTCTCTGGTGCCCAGCCAGGCAGGGAGTATGGATGGCCCCACGTCCAAGCCCCCGACGCTCTCCCCGGCTCTCAGGTCTGCAGGAACTCTCCAGATGGCCGCCCAGAGGACCCCCCCCTCGCAGGCCGGGCCCCTGAACAGCAGGGTATAGCAGCTCCTCCGGGAGGTAGATGGCTCTTGCTTTCTGCCTGCTCCCACTCCTCTCGCCAAGGTCACACTTGTCCCTCCCCACATGACAGGCACCGGGCAGCAGGCCCAGGCTGGGGCCTAAGTGGGCTTTCCCTTTCTTTTGGCAGGCCCCCAGCTCCGAGGCGTGGCGCTGGTCTCCTCGCTGGTCCTAGCCTCTGCTGGCCTCCTCTGGTGCTACTGCTTGTCCCGCTGGCTGGCCTGGCGGGCTGGTGCCCACGGCCTCTGCCCTGGCTGCACTGCCTGTTACCCGTGTCCGGGCCGGGTGGCTCCTGGGGGGCTGCAGCCCAGTGGGCCAACCTTCCAGGGTCAGGGAGGACATCCCTAGAGGCTGTGGCTTCAGAAACAGGAGAGTGGGCTCTAGGGTCAGACAGACTTCGGGTTCCACGCCACCCCCAGGAGGGCCACCTGACCTTGGGCACATCACCAAACCCGCAGGCTCAGTCTGCTCCTCTCCTGCCTCGTGGCTGTCATGAGGTACACGGGGGCTAAGTGGCCCCGAAGCTCGGGAGGTCGCTGGCACTCTGCTGGATCCGGGGAGGGTGGGGAGCAGGGGCCTCACTCCCTGGCAGCTGCCTTGCTTCACCCCTGGAGCTCACCCGCCTGGCTTTGCCACCCCGTCTAGCCCCCTCTCGGGTTCCACCGAGTCAAGCCCCAGTCAGAGGTGCAGGAAACAGCTGTGGCAGGGATAGCACCGTTTATTAAGAAAGATCAAGACAAAGACCACAGGAGGGTCCCTTCTAGGACACGGAGTCCAGGCGTCCTGACCCCACATCTGCGGGCTGCTGGTGGGGAGGGCATGTGCCCCCAGATGGGCCCTTGGGCTCCCCACAGATGGGGCAGGGCTGTCATGTCCCCTTCCGGTCCCTCCCAGGCGTGAGTCCTGGCATCCCCCACCCAAGGCACTAACTTTTCAACCACCAGTGCCCTCCTCCCCCCATGTCCCCTGGGCCTTCACTTCCAGATCAGTGGGGGGGGGGTGGGGTATGGCCTGGTGCGGGTGGGGAGACCCTCTCAGTGCGGGCTCTGCCTGTAGCAGCTCCTGGGAAGAGTTGGGGTGGAGTTTCCCTTGCTGCCCCTGAGGGCAGGGGCCCTGGGCCAGGTGTTGGGGGGGTGGAGGTGGGGGTGGCGGGATGCGGGCCAGGAGGGCTCGGTGGGAGGGGGAGGCTGCCAGGGGCAGGGGGTCCCCGGCTGGCTCGGCAGAGGTGGAAGGGGCTGGGACACGGGCTGGCGGTGGCGGGCTGGCCTGCCCAGGGGTGAGCTGCCTGGCAAAGGGAGCTGGGGAGGCACCAGGCTGTGGGCTGCGGTTGGCTCCTATGGGACCGAGGGCTGCCCGAGGGCTGCCAGACTGGACAGCCCAGCTCCGTGGGGGGGAGGGGCTCTCGAGTGGTAGTGACAGTTCGGAGCCCACTCGGCCACCGTGTCTGACCGCAAGTCCTGGCGGCCCTCTGAGGCACCGGCTCTCATCCAACCTGCCCTACCTACCAGCCTGCGGCTTTGCCCAGGTGTGTTTGTGTACGGGGGGGTGGCGGGCCCACCCTCCAGTCCAGCCCAGGGCAGTAGCAGCAAAGCGTGGCATTGCCTCAGTTTCTTACAAAATATTCATCATAATAATATTAATAATAATATAGTCGACGTCGTGGGGCTGGGATGCTGCCCGGGAGTCCATCTGGGGCAGGCAGCTGCCTACGAGGAGCAGGGGCGGGTGTTGGCCCCGGCCTGGGCGCGGTGCTGCAGGTCCAGCGGCTGCGGGGGCGGGGTGCCAGGCCGGGCCGAGTGCAGCACCAGGTTCTTGATACAGCCTGTGATGCCCGAGGAGAACCGGCCCCCGGTCAGTGTGGTCACATCGGGAGCTCCGCCTGCGGGGACGTGGAGGGGGGGTGGGGGGAGAGGATAGGGCCTGTCAGCTCCAGGAGCCCAGGGGCTGAGGAAGGCGGCATGCCCTAGCTCTGAAGGGGCCCCATGCCCTCCCTTTGCCCCGAGGAGGATGCCCGAGGCCTGCACTGAGGCCCGAGCTCAGGACTTACCAATGTAGATGCTGCCCTTGGTGTTGACTGCCACGTTAGGGCCTGGGGACTGGCCGCTGACCAGCTCCTCACCGTCCACCTGGATGGAGCCTCTCCGGCCCTCTCTGTTGGTGGAACGGGGGTGGGCCCCTCACACCACTTCCAAGAGTCCCCCCTCCCTTTGCCACAGAGATGCCAGACAGGAAGTCCTGCCCCTGCTTGGCGCTCTTTCCTTCCCCCCACTGGATGAGATCTGGCCCCACAAACACAGCTTCCTAGCACCTCCCCCAGCGGTCACCCGTCCCCTCAGATGTTTGTCTCCCCCCGCCCCCTGCACCCCCATGGTGTTCTGTCCTGCCCTGGAAGTCTGTGTTCAGGCTGGTGGGCTCTTCATCCACCCTGGCTTCAAGTTCTGTCTCCCAGAGCTCAAAGCCTGTCTTGCCACACGCGGTGGGCGGTGTCCTGTCCCACCGCAGAACTCTGAGCCCCTTGCCCCAGGGCCTGGGCGGGCTCTCTTACCGCAGCGTGGTCACCCGATGCCACTCGCCATCATCAATGGGGTCCTCAGAGACAAGGTGGGCCTCCCCACTGCCCAGCTGGTAGCTGCAGTCACACAGGCCCAAGACAGCGTGAGCTGGGGCAGACGGTGGTGGTATGTGCGGCTGGGGGTCTGCAGCTTCTCGTGGGAGGAGCCATGGCACCGAGCAGAGGGGGAGCCCCTGAAGCAGTGTGGGGGGCCAGGGAGGGGGAGGGAGGAAGGGCCAGGTGCCTGGACCCACCTGAAGACAAGGTGCCCGTCCTGAAGCCCGAGACTGATGAAGTCCTTGCCACGGCCGGCCTCTCCCACGTCCTGCCAGGGAAGCGCGGGGTCACTGGGGTTCCTGGTCTGCAGAGCCGAGGCCCCTGCCGCTGTGGCCTCGGCCCTCCTCCCTCTCACGGCCCTGGCCACCAGGGGGCTGGGGACCCTGAGACCCAGCCGGCCGCCCACACTCACCACGCCCTGCCAGAGCAGGAGGCCGTTGGCTGTGCGGGTCCGAACCTCCAGCTCAATGGTCTCCGGCACCTCGGGCAGGCTGGGAGTGGAGGAGGCGGGTGAGGGGGAGGAAGGTGCAGATTCCTGTTCCCCTCCCTGGCCCCACCAGCTCCCCCAACACCCGCCTCACCTCCTGGAGAAGATGCGGCCAGGGAGGGCGAGGAAGCCGTCATCGTGGAAATAGGCTCCATACTGCCCAGGGGCATCTGCGGGATGACGCGGGGGATGGTGAGGCCCCTGCTCGTCTGCACGGAGCGGCCACTGCACGGGCTCCCGGACCCCCACCTCCACCCCAACGTGTGTTCCTCTGCAGTCTCCAGAGACCCCGGGGGGCTATGGACACAAGTCAGGGGCCTGTGAACTTGGACGGGCAGACACTGTAGCTCGACCTTCACTCACTTCTCACTGAAATGTAGCAGTTCCTTCCACTATGCATGTGGGCAGCAAAGCCAAGGAGCCATAGTGGGACACTAACACGTTTCCTTATCACGCGACAGTAGTTACAGATTACTTCAGAGCTTCCTGAAATTGTGGTAGCTATTAGGGCCACCACTCGATCTCGTTATGTATTGTGTTCATACAGAAGCTCATATGTTACAAATCAGAAAATTCTAAATATTTTGAGAACCTTATTTCAGTACAATTGGTTTCCTCTGAAATCCTATGTATTTTATTTTATGTAGTCAGTAGGGCCCAGGCAGGGTGACCAATCGTCGCTATCTGCTGAGTCCTGTCCTGGTTTTAGTTCCTGAAGTTCACATCCCGAGAAACCCCTCGGTCTTGAGCAAACCGGGAGAGCTGGTCACGTAGGTCCATGGCACATAAAGGTTCAGAACCTTTGTGCTCCCTCTATCCTTCAGAGGTGAAGACAGGCTGGGGGCGGGGTGTGAGTGACCTGCCCAGAAAGTGGGAAGCCAGCACGGCAACCCGGACCTTTAGGCCCCAACGTCTGTACTGTGTGTGGTTCTAGCATCCCCAGCCCTACCTGCTTGGACCCAGCCAACAGGCCAGTGCTGGTCCCTGTGGGCCTACAAGGGTAGGGGACACTTGGCCACCCTCCGCCCAATGATGCGAACAGCGAACATTTCCCAAGCACCTGCTACGTGCCAAACAACGTGCAGGGAGCGTCACAGGAAAGCATCCTTTCATTTAAAGGGATCCTTACAATAATCCTATGGTTTAGATATGATGTTAACAAAAGCTAACACTCTCTACCCACTGTCGACTAGACATTGTTCTAGGCATTTTGAGTACATTGAATAATTGTACCCTGACACAAACTTTTATCCAACCCTCGTGGAAGGATGTCACTTCTCTTTATTTTACACATAAGGAAACTGAGGCACAGAAGGGTATGTGACTTACCCAAGGGAACACAGCTAGTAGATGGCAGGGCTAGGATTTGAATCCAGAGCCCACGTTCTTAGCCACTCTACCACTACCTCTCCTATCACATTAGTGAGAAATAAGAAGATGGGTATCTACAAAGCAGTTGGCCCAGCATTTGCGAATGTTCAATAAACACTGATTTTTAAGAAACGATCATTGCTTTTAAATAGACTGTGGAATCCTTGAGAAGGAAGGTCTTGCCTTGTTCATCTCACATTTCCTGCCTCCAGGGCGAGGATGGGCACGCAAGGGTTTGTTGACAGGATGTGTGAATGTAGAGGAGGAAACTGAGGTCAGAGTGGCTCAAGGATGCACACCGGGACCGCCTAGCCAGCTCAGCTAGCCCGTAACAGCTCTGTGTTGCTGGGCTCCTCTTTATTCTGTCCCTCTGAGCCCAGTGAGCCTCTCACGTGGCTTTGTCTTGCTCACAGGCCGGAACTGAGAATGTGGGCTCCCCGGGAGAGGGGCTGGGACGGGAAGCCGGGGAGGAGACAAGCCTCTCGGGCCACAGGAAGTACGTACCGTTGGCCCCGCTGCCTTCCAGATGCCACTCAGATTCCGCTGTGCCTTGTCCAGAGCCTATGAGGAGAGGCAGGTGTGGTCGGTGGGCAGAGACACTGCGGGTCCCATGTGCCGCCCCCCAGGGCCCCGAGCAGGAGGTGGGGAGAAGCCAGGACAGTTACCTTGTTGGCAGCGGGGGCCAGAGAAGCCGGGGGGACAGAGGCAG